GGTTTTCCTGTGTCCTGGAGCAAACGACCTCCGTTCACACGCCGTCCCCTTACCTAGCAGTCATATCCATGCGAACGGGGATGCAAGACCCCAGGGGACAGGGCTGCAGAATGGCAGCAGGTAACACCCACATTGAAAAGGGGACTTCAAGACCAGCAGAAGTGTTCATAGAAACTCAGAAATCCCGGGAAACACCTGGTCACTGAACAAAGGAAAGACAACCAGAGAGGCCTTGGCTGTGCCTCCTTCAGGGAGACCAGCCACACGTCCCTACTCCCAACCCAACGGGGTTATACTCACACCTGCCACACCACAGTGGTCAGCGGAGAGAGGTAGTTGAGCCCCCAGAAGAATATGGTGGTGAAAGGAGGGCGTCCTCTGATGAACCATCCACAGAACTTTCTAGAGCAGGGGTGTGAAGCTCATTTTAACGGGGGCCACGTCAGCCTTGCAGTTGCCTTCAAAGGGCCAAATGTAATTTTAGGACTGTATAAATGTAACTACTCCTTAACTAGGGACAAGGAGCTTGATGCTGCCGCTGGGTAGAAACAAGGTGCAGGTTGCGATAAAACAAGGTGGAGGGCCGGATTCGGCCGCAGGCCTTGTGCTTGCCGCCTGTGCCCTACAGCATGTGGGGAGCTCTGTGACCCACTTGGCCCAGTGTGTCTCCTGAGCACTTGATGTGCCGCAGGTGTGGCTGAGGAGCCCCCAGCTTTATTTCGCTTAATTTTAATTAAACCAGAAAGCATCTGGCTGGAGATGAACATTTTAAACAGTAGCTTGAGTAGTGTTGCTCAATTCAAGTCAGCCGGGGGCCCAGGGGCACCGCATTTTCCGAAATCGCTGTTCTGTGGTGCAGCTTGGTGTCTCAGCCTGTCATCCAGAGTTGCTTTATCTTCATCCAAGTCCATTTGCACAATAAAGACAATGAGGTATAACTAAGTTCTACATTTGTTAATATATTTATGTCCATTATACCGATATCCATGTTCACTGATGAGAACATAGAGATACAAGTGCAAACAAGAGAGGATGATCTGCCTGTTATGAAAACTAAGCTCTCGTAGGCAACCCCTGACTGAGGCCAATGGGAAAGTCCCTCTGGGTCAGCTGTCCCTGCCCCGGCACCACAGTGGCTGAGGAAGGGAGCAGAGCGGAGATGCTTGGTGGTCGCCCGGCGGCAGGCCAGCTGTTGTGGCCATCAGGGGTCTTCTCAAGTTGTGCTCGTGGACTTTCAGGGGGGGTGGCCCACCAAGTGCTCAGAGAAGACAGCACATGAGAGTCAGTCCTACTCAGGCCCCTCGGGGGGAAATGCAGTAGCAAGTCAGAAGCTGGCTTCTCAGTCTCCAACTGTGGCCAGATGGGCAGTTAAACTTGTGAAGAGCACAAGACATACCAAGAGAAGCATAAATGGAGGACAGACTTGCTTTAATTCGGAGCAAAATGTAGCTATTAGCCCAGCATCTGGATCTTTTCTACCGATTGCTGCATCTCTGGACAATCCACTGTCAGCAAGTCCTTTTTTTTCCGGGTGTGTGGTGACTTTTCTTAGTATGTCAAATATTGTGTGGAGAAAAACAGTGGCTCCTGAGGTGAATATAACTACCCAGAAATGAGCATGCACAGTGAGGCTGTTAGTTGAGGGTGGGGGTGGGGACAAGAAAATCTAGCCAGAAAAAGAGCTGGGTTTGGGCTTGTTGTTCCCTCATTACCCTCAGTGACCACAGGCTGCAACTCCCTGGAGGCGGGGCTTCGGTCACCAGCCCTGCTCGGTGAGGGGGCTGGGCGTTTCTCACTCCCGCAGCTCCTGACTGGCCAGCCTGATCAGCCTCTCCCAAACTACTGCCTGTCCTTGGGTAATGGGCAGATGATAGGAGAAGGAACTGTCAGCTCCTGGTCCAGCCTAACTTGCCACCTTGGGGTGGGGCCTTCTCAGAATCTCTCAATTCTCCCCCTGCTCCACTCACCAACAGCCCCCAGCAGCAGCAGAGTTCACTGGGTATCAGACTCGACGTGTAGCCCCTCTCACAGATCCCCTTCTCCCAGGGACCTGGGTGCGGTGCAGTGCAGTGCAGAGGTTGATCCTCCTTCCCACTAGTTCAAGGCTTCAGCTTTCTATAAGAGGACAGTCCAGTGGGCAGGTGGGTGGCTGGTCACCTCCTGCACTGCACCACCAAGGAAGCCCTGGGTGCTCTCCCCACCTGCCCCAATCCTTCCCACAAGCCTCATGGAGGCCTGCAGACCATAGCACTGAGTAAGCAAGAACTCTGTGTCTGGGGACAACTGTTTTCCTTACCCTTTCCTGCTTTCGCTTTGCAGAAGGTGAAGCCTGAAAACAGACCCATCCCTCCTCAGTCAGGGGGAATAGGAGTTCTGATTCCTTAGCTGCTTTGCAAATTCAGTGCGCTAAGGGAGTCCAGAGAAATTATGGCTTTTGCAGAATATCCAGCTCACTGCTAGGATGGGAGAGACCGTCTCTCACAGAAACAGAATCTATATGATTTAATCCCTCTTCCACTTAATCCTTGTGTGCAGCCTGGCGGAGGCCGGTGTTCCGGTGGAGGAACCGTGTGTGTGGGAACAGAACCTGTGTTCTCAGAAACGCCCACCAGAGGTGGGGCCCTGGCAGTGCTGTTCGGGGGTCCATCCCGTCATCAGCTTTCTATCCAGCTGTTCTGTCAACGAGGGAAAGGGGGTTGAAATTCCTTCTCTGTCTCCCTTTACTTGTCACTTTTTTATTTCACAAGCTTCAAGGTCTGTCATGGCTCCTGCCTGCATGATGACGTGTCCTTTACCTCCAGCCATGCGCGGTCCTGCGCTGACCTTCTGACTGCTGTTCTCCAGTGTGCCTTTCCCGTCCACTTTCTTTCAGACTTTCTGTGTTCACATTTAGTGTGCATCACCTGTAGGAGAGTATAACTACATCCTACTTTTCTTCTTCTTAATTCGTTCTGTTGATCTCTGTCTTTTAACTGGAGTGTTTAGTCCACTAACACTTAATGTAATTACTAATATGGTGTTCAGGCTTACCATTTAATTTTTTATTTCCTAGTAAAGCCTTAGTCTCTACTCCTGTGTTCCTCCTTCCCTGCCTTTTGTGGGTCATTCAAATGTCTTCAGACCCCCCTTTAAAGTGTCTGTGGGCGTTTTAACTGTCACTCTAGATCTTCCTGGTGCGAGTTCCAGGGGCTATCACACAGGTGCTTAGCTTTTCAAACCCTATTTAAAGTTAACATTGTGCTGCTCGACATAAAGTGTGGACATCTTGGCCCCAGGGGTCCGTCTGTGCCTTCTCGAGCTCCATGTCACACTCGTCACATGTGTCCCCTCTCAGTGCATTCCAAACCTCCAAAGACAAAGAATTCGTTTTGCTTTTAAACAGTTATATGCGTTTTGAAGGAAGTAAGTGGAGCCAAACCCTCTTCACATTCACCTGTGTTATTGACTGGTTCCCGTGTGCCATGTTCCTGCTCAGGGACTCGAGTCCTCTCCTCCTGTCCCTTCCCTCAGCCTAGAGAGCCGCCCCTGGCATTCCCGGAGTGCGCATCCGGAGTGCGCATCCGCCAGTGATAAATTCTCTCACTTCTGCTTATTTCACCTCCGGCCCCGGAGGGCGCTATCTGGGTGCAGGGTCTGGGGCACAGTGTCCCTCTCTCAGCACGATTGCCCCTGGATGCCGGGGTCCAACTACTCCAAGGGTGTGTCAAGCTTCTCCAGCTGCTTTCAAGCTTCTCCCTTCCCCTTTGATTTTCAGTATTGATTTCAGGTGATTTGAGCATGTAGTTTTATTTATGCCTTTTGGGGCCCACCAGGCTTCCTGAATCTGTATGTTTAAACATCTCCCTACACTTACAAACTTTTCAGCCATTCTCTCTCCCCTCCTTCTGGGGGTCCGGTCTCAGCCTGGGGGATGTGTGCTGGTCTCTCATTCCTTTGTTACCGCCACCCTGCTATCCAGTCCATCCGATGAATTTCTCACTTCAGAGACTGTATCTTTCAGTTCTGAAATGTCCACTTTTTTTATATTTTTGATCTTTCTACTGCGATCTCATTTTGTGCTCACTCAGCAGGAGCCTGTTTTCCCTCACCTCAGTCGGCACAGTCTTGGCAGCTGCTTAGTCCCAGTCTGAAAGTGCCGGGATCCAGGCACCTTGGGGCTGGTCGCTGTCATGGCCTATTCCCTCCAGAATGAGCCCGCCCTCCCGGTCCTTTGTTTCTTGTGTGTCCTGAGCATAAGGATGTTGAGCGAAGGGGCATCTGGGTTCTGTCGCGCCCCAGGGAGAACACTGGTGCCTTTGCTGTAACGGCATGTCAGCAGGTGAGACGCAAATGTAACCTGTGCCGTGCCCCCACCCTATCCAGTCCCGTTCACTTGGGGGCCGTCCTCTGCTCACCTCCAGCCAGTGGCCACGGCCCCACAGCCCATTAATTTCTGAATAAAAACCCTAGTCAGCACGCTCACCCTGGTGCAGCGTTTCCCTCAGAGCCCAGGCTGGGGGGACCTGAATCCTCCCCCTACCGAATCAGGCAGACATCCAGCCACCTTTGGGGTACCCTGCCAGTCAGGGACAGTGCCAGGTGAGCCCCCCTCTGTGTATGTTGTCCACAGGCTTGTGTCCACTGGGGACTCAATGTGGCCTGGAGAGGGGAACACACGTGTCACAGGTCTTTTCACTCACCCAGGGTTAGGGGACAGACTCACAATGTGCCATGGAGCCATTGCTGCTGTCACTGCTGCGGGACGATGCTACCAGCAACACAGAGACTGGTGCCACACGCAGTGAACCCGAAAACGCGTGCGCTCCCTCATCTGGGCTGGCTCGCTACTCTGGGCGAGGAGGCTAGCTAACACACACAGCGTCAGGACAGCACGGCCAGCCCTGTGTGTTGGTGCCAGATGACCAAGCAATGAGAAAGTCAGTAAGAAAAAGGCGCGAGGATACATACCCCAACACAAAATGCTAACTCTTGCAGAGTTTTTCTAAATGATTTTCACTTACCAAATGAATACCTGGAAAACAAAAGGAGAAAAGTGTATTAAAATTTGGCACTTTGCCAAAAAAAGCTTATAAGATTTAAGCACTGCGTTACCCAATTAAGTAGAGCCCCTGTCCGTGACCCCAGGGCAGTGTGGTGTCAGGGCACAGAGCTCATGGGGATTAAATGCAGCAGGGGGTGAAGGGAGAGGGCAGAACTGTCCTCAGGTGCCCTGAGGGGGCAGTTGGGGCCCCCAGGTCCAGCAGGCTGCCCTGGGGGACTGTAGCCTTTTTGTCTCCTGCCCACCCCACACAGACAGTACAGGGTGATGTCTATAACAGGCCAATCAAAAAATATTTTGGAAAAAAGTAAATGTAATACTTGGTTTTCCCACAGTAAATAATTTCAATCAAACACCATAAAAATGTCACACCCTGGAATTTGAAACCTGAAAGGATACCCCAGTACCCTGAGCACATATTATTAGAGAAGGGCCCTAAATTACAGGACCTTGGGGGGCTGCCTCCTCTCTAAGGGTCTGAGGTCTGTCTTTACGTGGGATCTGAGCAGAACCTGGAGTCCGCACACTGGCCTGGGGCTTCCGTGACGCAGGCTCACTCTGCACCCCTGGAGAGGGGAGAGACATCAGCCCCAGTTGTAGACTTAAATCCCTACAATGTCATGGAACACAACTGAGGTGAGGGTCGCATGGGCCTTGAAACAAACACCCCTCACACCTGTGCAGCTCTGGCACCTGTCTCCCAGCCCGAGGTGAAAACAAAATCCTCCACTTGGACTCAAGGATAACAAGACCACACCCCCGGAGAACTGACACATGCTACAATGTGAATGAGCCCTAAAAGCATCCTGCTGTGGGATGTAAGCCGGCCACACAGTGCGGGACTCCATTTATGTGAAACATCGAAAACAGGTGAGTCTACAGAGACAGAAAGAAGATCAGTGGCTGCTGGGGATTGGGAGGGAAATGGGGGCATAAGTTTCTTTTGGGGGTGATAACAATTTTTTACACTTAGTAATGACTGCAGAACTCCGCAAATATATAAAGCCACTGACTTGTACCCTTTAATTGGTTAAATGTTATGGTATGCAAATTACACCTCAATAAAGATGTTTTAAGAAATACGTATGAATGAGAGGATAAGGCCTGAAATGTGCACAGAGCCCCTCAGTGAAGAGAGGGCGGGACCTCTGGAGGATGAAAGGAGAGTCAGTCTTGGGCATCTGGGGGGGCTGGGGCAGGTCCCAGGGCTCCCTACACTGCCCACTTTTGAATGTGTGTGTGATTTCCCACGGTGAAAAAAGTTCAGACGCAGACCTTACAGGCAATAGCAACACACTGGAGGGTACCTGAAGCAATGCAGGCACCACGGAAGAGCTGTCAGGGGGCTGTTCTCTTAGAGCTGCGTCTGGCAGCGATGGTGTCTTTAACCACCCTGGCCCATCAGAGATGCACGCTGCTTACAGGTTAAACACCACAGTGCAGGATTTGCTCTTTACTCCGGAAAAGACAATTTGGGAGAAGAGGGGACACTTGTGTGTGCATGAGGGTTCTTGGCATTATACTCTACTTTTTTTTAAAGATTTATTTGTTTTAAAGAGACAGGAAGGGACAGAGAAAGAGAGGGAGAGAAACACGGATGCTTGAGACGTACATCAGTTGCCTCTCACACACCCCTAGCTGGGGACCTGGCTGGCAACCCAGAATGTGCCCTGAGTGGGAACCGAACCGGTGACCTTTTGGTCCGCAGGCTGGCGCTCAATCCTCTGAACTATACCAGCCAGGGCTACTCTCTACTTTTGAACAGGTTTCTAAGTTTCTGTAGTTCAAAACCTTTAAAACAGCCAGTTTACATACTGGCTAATTCAAGAAACAAGTTTACCCAGCACATTCTCCCAGTAAACCACCTTGTTGATGGAGAAGGAGAAACGGGCTAATTGTCACAAACTTACAGAGAATGAATGGTTTATATTTTTATCAGATCTGATTGAAAGAGACAGCTTTCAGGTCAGAGCTGGCCTCGCATGGCTCCCGTCTGCAGCCCGGCCACCAGAGTACAGCGCCCCGTGGGAACCAGGGGTGGGCCTGTGGTGTTACAGCCATCGCATTTACTGAGGGTATTGAAAAATGCCTTTCATGACTTTAGCCGTTTTGAATTTTGAATTTCAAGGCTGCCTGATATACGGTTTTTAAACACAAGTAGTTATATTTAATTACTCGAAAAACTAAAAAGGCTTCACTACTTTTACAGCTTTTACTGTATTTTTTAATAGCTGGGATTTATTTTAGAAGAGATGGCTGTCGATGGAGCTATTTTGGGGATGTTCTACTGTTTTGTTCTTTAAAGAAACTCCGGCCCTTCCATTTTAGCTTTTGCTCCCAGGTGGTCTGTGTGAATGCAGTGTCTCCGCCTGCCTGCTAAAGACGAGGCCCCTTCACAGAGGCAGGCGGCTGGTCTGCGTGCAGACAGGAGAGGACCGGGCAGGGGCGGGGCCTTGCGGAGGCACTGCATCCACTAGGACCCTTGCCCGCAGCACAAAGCAGTCTTGTCCACGGCCCCTTGGGCCTCAAGCCACCACAGCGACTTTTGTGTGAGGTTCCTATTTTTACAGAAGGCCTCTGATTAAAAAAGTACATCAGGCTTCCAGCACTTTTTGCTTTGTGAAAAAAAACTTCTTGGATAAATATTTGTTAAATTATGCTTCCCTGCCTGTGGAGAGGCAAGCTGTGAATTTGTAAGACTTCTCCCCACTTTCTTGCCCGGCACTGAGCTCCCCAAAGGCTCACTCAGAAAGCAGGTAGACAGGAGTCGGTGTGATAGGGCCTGCTCCTGTGAGCCCCCCTCAATTCCTGATGCGAGCCTGTGGCTAATCATGTCGCCCGCATGGAAGTCCCTGTCACATGGTGAAGGCCAAACAGAAGCGAATCAGGATGAACATGTCACAGGAACTAAAACAGCGGCCCTCGGTATGCCCAAGCAGTCTGAGGGCGTCCACCCTGGCCCAGCCCTAACCTCTGCTAAAACAGCTCATCACAGAACCGTGGGGAGTGGGGCCCCACCCAGTCAGTGGGACGTGGGACCCGCCATGGCACTGGCAGGCCCTGTCTCAATGCCAATGTGCAAGAGCAGAGAAGGTCCCTCTCTGCATGTGAGAAGGGGTGTTTCACTGTGGCCCAGCTGAGGAGGCTCTGGGATAGCTGGACCTGTATGACACATCTGTCTGGCAAGAATGGAAGGGCCTATAGCACACCATCCTCCCTCACCACCTGTGACTGGGCCCCTGCCTGGCTCTGAGTACTTGACCCTTATTACTACAGAATGGAAATGGCACCATTTTTTTTAAGAGAGAAGGGAAGGGAGGGAGAAAGAGTGGAAGAGAAACATCAATGTGAGACAGAAACATTGATTGGTTGCCTTTCGTATGTGCCCTGACTGGGGACTGAACCTGCAACCCAGGCATGTGCCCTAACTGGGAATCGAACCTGTGATCTTTTGGTTTTTTGGACAGTGCCCAACCAGCTGAGCCACAGTGTCCAGGGAGGAAATGGCACCATTCTGCTCCCTGGAGCCTCATAAATCCAAAGGAGAAATTCATTTTTATGCATCACATGTATCTATACCTGGTGAAATTGATGGGCTACAAACCAGGATGGGGGCAGCCGTGGAAGAGCATTGTATTTAAGGCCTGGAGCCAAAATCAGGTTTCCATCCTCAAGAGTCAGAGCAGAGCCCTGACCCTGGTCCCTCCACATCTCCCGGGCCTGCTGGCATCTGTTCTTGGTGCACTTTGAAGTTGATACCGTCCCTGTGTCAGAGAGATGTGCCAGAGGCAGCTTCCTCCACAGGAAGGGACCCCCTGAGCTGCCCAACCTCGGTCCAAGTTTCTAGAGATAGTCCTTTCTTCTTTTTGGGGGGCCAGGAAGGTGGGGAAGAGAGAAGGATGGTTATACAGCCATCCTTAATAGCAACAAAGAAGACTTTTAGGATTATTGCCAAAGTAAAGCACAGACAAAAGGATCACAAACCCAGAATTTTGGAAAAGCTGATACTTAACTAACTGGAGAAACTGGGGCAGATGTCACTTAGGATTTCTAACGAGGTTCCACTGTTTCAGACAGGACAGGGCTAACTGTGGTTAGGTTCTTCTTTAAGACCACCTAAATAGTAGTTACCAAACTCTGCCTCTTTCTCTGAAACGCTGCTGATCCCCAAGATGTTTAAATTGCTAGAGATATAGAACGGGTACCCCAAGTACTATAATAGATGTACGCAGGAGTCCACACTGATCAATGATTGAATGGACAACATGGGGGGAGAAACAGATCTCTGTGCGGGAGAGCCCACATCACCGTGCAGGTGCCCCGCCCTCGAGGGGCCCCGAGTGCGGGCTGGCTAGTGCTGCCCCCAGAGAGAACACGTGGTGCAGCCCTGGGAGGGGAGAAGGAGTTCACGGCCCACTGAACACCAGGGGCAGCGCCGTGGACATGAGTTGTGTCAACAGCACAGACTCGCTACGGTGGACAACAATGACAGTGCACCTCCGTGCTCTTCTCCCCAAGCCCGAGGCCCAGTCACTAACGAGCAAACATCAGACAGGCCCCAGCAGAGGGAGGGACGCCCAACAGACACCTGACCAGCTCTCCTCACAGCTGTCGGGTCAAAATCTGCAGAGCCGAGCCGGGACACGGCCCCGCCCGGGGGAGCCTGCAGGCACCGGGCCGACACCGAGCAGTCTCGGAGACCCTGACAAGAAAGAGGGTGTGACGGAGGAGCAGAGGAGGTGTTGGCACTGGTTCGTCTCGTGTGACAAACACCCCATCCACGGTAAGAGGATAACAATACGGGAAACGGAAGTGGGGTACAAAGAAGTCCTGAACTACTCCTGCAACAATTCTGTAAATCTAAAACTGTTAAAACTAAAAAGTGAAGTTTATTAAATTAAAAACAAGTCAAGGTAGCCAGGCAGCACCAGGATCTGCACCTATCAGGAGAGCAGCCTCCACCAGCCTTGCCTACGCCTCATCGGCGCACAAGTGGAGCAGGCTGGGGTCCGGGGAAGGACCGCATGGGCCTCCTTCGACTGGATGCTACATCTGGGGGCTCTGGGCAGACAAATCAAGTTCTCAGTAAGAACAGGATGAGCCCAGGCCAAGTTCTCAAAGGCATCCCTACTTCCTCCCAACCCCATCTGAGAAGAAAGGGATAAAGCCTCACAGCAGTGGGCTGCCCGCCGCCCAGTCTGAGGCACCTTATGGCCCGATAGGACCTCAGGCTGCCTCCTGTCCCTCATCCTGGCAGACACAGTTCTGTGCTTTCTGCTAACCAGGCTTCTTCTTTAGAAAAAGCAGAAAGCAACCAAGAGTAGTCATTTAACTGCCTCATTGTTACCCTCAGGACAACTTGAATACCTGCTATCACTCCTGTACTTGGGCATTATCAATCAAAACCCATTCCAATCACACTTGACTGATAATGAGAGAGTGGGCTCCTGTGAAGCTGGGGCCCCACTGTGCCATGTCCTTGGAAACCCTGAGCCCCACCCAGGCTTGCCCTGCACCTCTACTGTGGGGCCTGCAGCCTGGTCACATTCTAACTGCCCACTTACAGTAGCCAACATAAAGGAATGTCTGGCCACCTGGCACTGGGCCACTTTCCTATTTCCTGTCTTGTAAAATACAGTCCTGAGTCCCGTCACCTTTCCTGCATCCAGGAGAAAGGACCGATGTGAAACAGGCCAGTCCAGCTGTCCACCACAGCCCATCCTCAGAAGGCAGAGAACATCTCAATCGACCAAATAAGAAAATAATCAGAGCCTAAGAAAATGCCACAAAGGAAGTGAATGTTCTCCTTTTTCCCTCCCACCCAAAAAATTCTCTCACCCATCCCCAAGCTTTGAACCACCGGGGCCTATTTTTTAAGTCTACCTACTTGAACCCAGACCCTACAGGGCCTGCTCTCCTGCGTGTGGGGTGCCTGCACACCAGGATGTGGGTCGTTACTCCGAGAAGCACGGCTGTGGGACTGAAGCCACCCTCCCCTCAACGAAGCCCTTCAACCACGGCCCTCAAGGAGCGGATGCATCAGGTTCCCACTTGCCTCGCCGAGTGTCGGGATCCAGACCGGAGAGCGGGGGGCGGGCGGTCATGCTCCTAGAATGTGCGGGACTCACGCGAGGCTACCTGACTCTGCCCCAGGACAATGGCCTCAGAAACTCAAAGCACTACTACATGCAAGGTTTGTTTTGTTTTTAAGATTTTATTTTTTGTGAGAGTAGAGAGAGAAAGAGAGGGAGAGAAACACTGATGTGAGAGAGAAAGACTGATTGGTTGCCTCTTGTAGATGCTCTGACCAGGGACCGAACCCGCTACCCAGGCATGTGCCCTGACTGGGAATCGACCTGGCGACCTTTCAGTTTGTGGGACAACATGCCAGCAACTGAGCCGCACTGGTTAGGGCCAAGTGCAGGGTTTTACCTGTCTCCTGCGTCAGCAGTTCAAGATCCCCATGTGTACTGAGACATGCATTTATGACATTGTGAAGTCATCATGAACACTGGTCAGGGCCAGAGAGAAGCTGAGAGGACACCCATTTAAGAGAAGGGAGAGGAGGAGGCTCTCAGTGAAGCAGCAGCCATAGCACGCACTCAGCAAAGCTGGGCAGCCGCACGGCGGGCTGAGTGCCGGCGAAGCGCCACGTGCACCTGCCTGGCGCCTCCTTGCCCCACAGGGGCTTCCTGTCCCTGCCACGGGGTGCCAGCTGGACGACACTTGAAAGACGTTCCGTCAACAGTGTCCATTATCTGAGCATCTCATCCCAAACAAATATCCTTTCCTCTCAACTTAAAATAACGAATAACGGGGACATGAAAAGAACAGATTGTGTCTAACTTTCATTTCAGGATAGCAAGGAAAAGAAAGCCCACTTTCCACTTAAGTAGTCCTCGCTCTCTCAGCAAGCTTTCAAAGTTGCTCCAACCACCCAAAAACTGCCATCCGCCAGGGAAACATGAGTCAAGAGCTGACCTGAGTGCCCATGAGGGGTGAGTGCGTCTGAACCATGCTGACCACCCACCGCGGTGCTTGTGGGGTCCTGCCTCACAGCCCCCAAGCCCGTGCCAAGCAGGCCATACGGTCACCGTGACCATGGATGCCTGGCATCAGAAACACGGTGAGGAAAACACTGGTCTTCATGGACAGATGTTTTCTTTTGTGACGTTTTTCATCTAAAACATCCCAGGTGTCACTTCCTAGAAGATACAGCTTTATTTTATTTTGCTTTAGCAGACTTAAATGAATTCGAATCACATTTTTTAACATACCCATGGGGAGAGGAGCAAAATACCTTTCCCAATAAAAAAATACAGGCCTCTATTTTTAGCCACTTGTACTCAAGACTGGCTTTCAGAAATTTAAACATGGGGTTAATCATACCTGCCAGTATATTCTAGACATAATTCAGAAATACTTTTTGAAGTAAAACTCGAAGTTGATATGGTTTAGCTGCAGGTACAGGAAGGCATGGCCGGGCCACCTGTCGCAGACGGAGCGTGTCCCCTCTGCGTGTGACCCTGCCGTGGGGTTCTCCCACTCTGTAACTCCGCTGTTAGACGAGGGCAAAGGCGCTAGAATTCTCCCTTCTCTGGCGTGGATTAAAGTCACAGGTCTCAAGAAACAGCAGCCCCTTGGACACCACAGAAAAGCCCAGCCAGAGGCCTCTTGTGCTGGTGAACTACTGGGTGGGCAAATGGAGGTGGGCAGTAGCCACTGATGGCCGCCACGCCGGTCAGATGCCCGTGTGGTGGCACCAATGTGTGCCCTGCGGTAAGGGGCAGATGGGAGTGAAGGAAGTGGCACTGCCTCACAGCTGCTTTGTGCTCTGGGTCCGCCTGAGATGCCAGACACACCTAACCACCCACCGCCCTCAGTTCCCCTGCACTGCCGTGTCCTTCAAGAAAAGAAAATGCAATAAATCACATTTAACATAGCCCCTTCTCTAGGAACCAACACAGTTTCTGTTGGAACTGAAGACACGGTGCACAGGCCATAGTGATATGTCGTCAGCCACTCAGTGGCCTGTGTGAGTGCCCACAAAGATGCCCACGGTTAAGTAACCGAAGGTGTGGCCCTTGGTCTTCTTCCCCAGTGCAGACAACTCACACCACAGCTGCAAACGCTGAAGACCCCCAGTCTCTTCCTCAGTCCCAAACTCTGCCACAGCATCTGCTCTCAGCAGTCACTTGTTGGAACAAGGCTGCAGGGCAGAAGATGGGAGGGGATTTTGGGGTGATAAGACACCCGAGTCCTCTTTTCACAGGCTGAATTTGGGGCTGCGCATCCTGTACACACACTGTGCGTCGTTCACACTAGTCCCGATGCAAGCCCAGGACAAATTAGCACTTCCTACAAGAGGAAGAGGCGCAGAAAGATCCAACCCAGATGCCTTCTCACAGCAATGCGCACCTGTATGGGGACAAGGGCACAGATGATGGAGCTGAGAGGGGACTGCCACACAGATCCCTGCCTACGCCACAGCCGTGTGACCATGTAAACATAAATCAACAGGGGAACTGAAAGTCAACTCCTCGTGCCCAGGAGTCAGATCTCCTGGGTTAACATCCACTCTCTGGGAAGCTTCGCCCTCTGATCTAGGGCCCAGTGACCCTCTCCATCCTGGCCCAGCATGGAACAGACCTGTCAGGTCACTGAAAAAGCTTTTCTCCCAGAGCACACATAGGCCCTGGAGGGACCGTCCCAACGGTGGCCCCAGATGGGCGGAACCTCCTACATGTCTACACAGACACACACCTCCACGTCTACTTCCTGCACATCCACACAGACACCCCCATGCCTACCTCCTACACACCTACACAGAAACCCACCCCCCACCCACTTCCTACATGTCTTCAGACCCCAAACCTACAACTACCTCGTGCCTAGTTATGCAGACACCAACCCGCATATCTACCCCCTGAATGTCTGCACAAATACCCACTCTTTTCCTAGAGCTTTCTCCTAAAGCTCCATCTCATCTCTCAGGATCTTCTGTGCTGCCTCTTTCAGGTGATCTTCCCTATGTGTGGAATCCAGACATGGCAAGAAGGCAGGGATCCCCCCATCTGACCAGTTTAAACAAACCACAGCACTTCAGGGCCCCTTGATGTCATCCTGGCTTATCCCAGGTTACAGGCTGCCCTGACATGCCCACATGCCCTGTGTGCATTCCAATGGACCTCCCCACTCTCCCCACCTCCAGGCTGCACCATCACCACCCCTGATTTGTCCAGCACTGCAGCCCACTCCCCACAGCAGGGCCAGCCTGGTCTGTGACCCTTGGTACTAGCTGGTAAAGGTCCCTGTTGACAAGGAGGGGCAGGAGAGGGTAGGAGCAACAGGCTTCAACCCCCAAGTCAACCCTGTCACCAGAAGCACACCCAGCGACTTCCACCTCCACCTCACCACCCTGCTGGCTGCAGTGGGTTGGCCATGTGGTCTCAGTACAGTCATGTCATTCCCAAAGGAATGGCAATTGTTCCCGAAGAAGAAAGGCCCCTCCCTGCATTTTGGTCGATTGGCAATTAGCACTCTTTACCACAGCCTCGTTAAAAATGATATTTTCCCCAACTAATGTAAGGAGAAAGCCTGCTCAGTCCCTCCAGCTGCCAGGATATTGTGGTTTGCTCTGCGGTGTGTAACATCCCCAAGCCGCCGGGTTACAGCACGCTGAGCTCACGTGTGCCCAGTCCTTCCCACTTACCAGATCTGTCCCACATTGACTAGGGACATGTAGAGGACCCAGAGCGCAGCCATGAGGATCATATTGGCACAGCCTGTGACCAGGATGAAAGCTGAGATGCCCAACCCGAGCAGCGCGAGGGCATCCAGGTTGGAGTCCATGTGGGACCAGTCCAGCAGCCAGAGGAGGGTTGGGGTGGAGCTCACGGTGTCCCAGCCGACCCGGCCCTGGAAGTGCCGCTGCACACTCTTCAGATACACTTTGCAGGGCAGTAGTCCTCGGTCTCCAATCAGCTGCTTGTTCTGATGAAAAGCCACCAGGAATGCCACGACTGGAAGAAAAAGGAAAAGAAAGAGGGAATGTGAGCAGGAACACACCATCTGTGGACACCAGTGGGTGCTTTTCCGACACACGGGGGCTCAGCTGGGCGAGAAGACGAAGTAGAGTCTGACCAATGGTCTAGAACTGAGACATGGACTCAGGGGTCTGACATTTCTCAAAATCTTGGGGGAAATTTTGGAAGACCCAACCTGGAGAAATCACATATATATGTATATATACCTGTAAATGGTATATGTACTTATACACATTGTATACATATATACAGGTGTATCTATATATAGACATACACACATAGAAGACATGTCTTATTACATGTTATTACAGTTAGCTCCCCCAGATTGCACACAGCATTCCCATTATAAGTACACCCCGATAACCCATGGGTCCAGTCAGTAGTGCTGCTCCCAGAACTAGCTACAGGGTTTGAGGCTATGACAGTGCTTACATGCAAGTCACGACTGCCCCCCATTCTAACCACAAGTTTCTGAATCCGTTTCTCACAATCCCCACTCCTCCCAGAACACAGTCACGTCCTCTGGACTTCAGTGTTGACACAGGTATGTTCACACAGAGATGCTACAGGAGAGAACACAGCACTCCTATCTGTGAGCATGAAGAACAGAGAAACTCACAGCCACCAAGAGAGGAAAGGCAAGCGAAAGGCAGGGTGAAGCAGTTCCGTACAGCCTGCTGGACAACTGCTGGGACGCCGCCGGGCAGAAAACACACGCACGCTACAGGAGACAAGCTGCACGCTCACGAAGAAAGCTCAACACCTCTGTGCATTTCCATAGGGAATGAAGCCGCATTACAGGCAGGACTGGGGCTGAGACGGAGAACATGCTGGTGGGTTCGGCTCACAGGTGTAACAATCACCACCTGCTCTTTCAGGAAGATGGGCAACCCCTGGTCCAAAGCAAACAGTAACGACGAGCTGTGTGTTTACAGCTATGAAAAGCAAAATATATGAGAAAAGAGCACAAAGACTAGAGGGAGATAGTGAAATATGCTCTTAGAAGGACCTTACAGGACACAGAAAGTGGTGGGCTGTTGCGTGAAGTCAGCACATATTAACTTAGAATGTACTATATTGTAAGTCCCGTCAGAGAGCAAAAAAAGTTTTTTAAAACAATTCTAAGGAATAAATCAATACAGATACCAAAATGAAATCATAAAAAAAGAAAATGCTCATTTAGCCAAAGAGAAAGCAGAAAAAAAGAAAGAATGGAAGGAATAGAAAATAACCAGCAAAATCATAGATTTTAATCCATCATTTTAAATGAGAATGTTCTAAACACACTAGCAAAGACAGAAATTGTCAAATTGGATTAAAAAAACAGGACCCAAGTTTATTCTGTCTATAAAAAAATCTACTTTAAATATACATACATAGGTAGGTTAACAGTAAAAGCACAGAAAAAGATATCATGAAAATACTAATCCAAGGAAAGCTGGACAGCTGTATCAATATCAGACAAAATAGAGTAAAAGCAAGTAATGCTGCAGAGAAGAAAAAGGACACTATATAATGAGGGATCAACAAATGAACATTCAGTACTAAATGTGCATGAACCTAATAACAAAGCATATGTATACATATAATGACCTAACATATGTATGTACATGTATATTCTCTATATATACTAACCTGACCTGATACTTATATACTATAAAAAAGCAAGACACAACTATATGACATCTTTAGAGCACTCTGTTCAACAGCAAGATAATACCAGGTCTATCCAGAAGATATCCAGCCACAAAATAGGAAAAATAGGGACATTTATTGAAGAAGATACAGAATATAAGAAACACTGTACATAGACAATGACACCTCAGTCCCCATCAAAGCAGGCACCTTGGGACCTCACATAGTTCTCTCAATTGCCATCAGCTGCTCTGTTACATTTTCCTGAATCTCATCAATGGTCAGAAATCTCTTCCCTTTCAAAAGTGATTTTAATTTTAGGAAAAGTCAGACATTTCAAGGCACCAAATCTGGGCTGTAGGGAGCCTGAGACACCCGGGTGATGTGGTGTTTTGCAAAAAAAAATTCTATATGAGACGTGATGTGTGAGCGGGCGTATTGTCATGATGACGCTGCCAGTCAGCAGTTGCCCATAGCTTCGGCCTTCTGAATCATCCGAATAGTTTCCGTGGAGAAATGTTCAAGCTTAATGCAAAGTTTAATGCAGATTTGTTGCTCTACTAGCTCAGTCATTTTTTAATGTGATGGTCACACAGTACACATGCTCACTCAACAGTGTCTACCGCCCCCACTGACTAGTACAGTGAAGTCATCACTGTTCATGCATGCACATTCTAGTCCATTCTCCTTGGCTGCCAGGTTACACTGATGTCGTTCAATATGCTCTCAATATGTTGACAATGGCTGGACTTTTTCTGGACAGAAAATAGATATAATTTTCAAGTATCCATGGAACATTCATGAAGATGGACCAGAGTGTGAGCCATTAAGTAAATTATTAACATATAGTAGAATTAAAATTTATAAAATGTTTCCTGACCACACAGGATTAAACTAGAAATCAGTAACAGGATATTATCTGGAAACATACTCAAATATTTACAGTTGAGATCACACACTTCTAAATAAATCAGAGATTTTTTTTAAAGGCACAAGAGAAATTACAAAATATTTTAAATTATATTTTATTGATTATGCTGTTACAGTTGTCCCGATTTCCCCCCTTTTGTACCCCTCCACCTAGCAGCCCCACTCCCTCAGGCAGTCCCACAGCATTGTTCATGTCCACAGGTCATGTGTATAAGTTCTCTGGCTACTCCATTTCCTATACTGTACTTTACATCCCCATGGCTATTCTGTAACTACCTATTTGTACTTCTTAATCCCCTCACCTCTCCATCCATTCTCCCACACCCCCTCCCATCTGGCAATCATCAAAACGCTCTCCATAATTCTGTCTCTGTTCTAAGTCCTTTTACATTTCATAAAGTAATCATTTAGTGATGATGAACTCCTTGTGTGAGAAGCTCTTTATTCACCATTTGATTCTAAATGATAGCTTTGCTGAGTAGAGCGATATTGGCTGTAGGTCCCTGCTTTTCATGACTTTGAATATTTCTTGGTAAACCCTTCTAGCCTGCAAAGTTTCTTTTGAGAAATCAGCTGACAGTCTTCTGAGAACTCCCCTGTAGGTAACTGTTTTTCTCTTGCTGCTTTTAAGACTCTCTCTTTATCATTAACCTTTGGCATTTTAATTATGATGTGTCTTGGAGTGGGCCTCTTTGCATCCATCTTGTTTGGGACTCTCTGTGCTTACTGAACTTCCACGTCTATTTCCTTCACCAAATTAGGGAAGGATGATGTGAATGTTGGAATGCTTGAAGTTGTCCCAGAGGCTGCTTAACTATCCTCGTTTTTTTGGATTTTTTTTCTCCTTGTTCTGATTGGTTGTTTTTTGCTTCCTGATGTTCCATATCATTTATTTGATTCTCAGTTTCGTCCACTCTGTTGTTTCCCTATAAATTGTTCTTTATTTCAATTAGTGTATCCTTCATTTCTGGTGGGATCTTTTTTATGCTGTTCAGGTCCTCACTAAGTTCCTTGAGAATCCTTATAACCAGGTGTTTTGAACTCTGTATCTGATAGATTGCTTATCTCCATTTTGTTTTGTTCTTTTTCTGGAGTTTTGATCTGTTCTTTCATTTGGGCCATGTTTCTTTGTCTCTTTAAGTTGGCAGCCTCCCTGTGTTTGTTTCTATGTATTAGGTAGAGCCGCTATGACTCCCTACCTTGGTAGTGTGGCCTAATGTAGTAGGTGTCCTGTAGGGTCCAGTGGCACAGCCTCCCCTATCACCCAAGCTGGGTACTAGAGGTGTGCCCTTCATGTAAGATGAGTACACCCTCCTCTTGTAGTTGATCCTTGGTTGCTGTGGCAGGTCAATGGAAGGGATTTACCCAGGCCAGTCCACTGTAACGACTGACTGTGACTACTGACCACCAACTTCTACCTTCTGTGGAGGATCAGCTGTGCAGGGGCAGGGTGGTGGTGCACCAAGGTGGTCTATAACTGTCTACTGGGCAAAAGGCCCTGGGGTTTCCTGGGTGGTGCAGGCAAAGGTCAACCCCCACCTGTGTTTTGCCTAGGGCCACCCTACCTGAGCTATAAATCAATTTGAGAAGGCTGCTACTTGTGCTGGGCTTGGAGATTTCCAGGCAAAGCCAAGCTGTGAATCTAGGTTGGCTGTTATTAGTGCTGTACATGGGGCCACTTAGCTGTTGCTTGTTTGATAGGATTTAGGAGGGTGTGAAACATGAGTCAAGACCAGCCATTCATATGGAAAAGTCATGGTTACCAGCTGTATGTTGGGTGGGGTGGAGTCTCAGGAGATCTCACTAACACTGAGGGCAAACAGTGTTAGTCAGATTGATGGAGTCTCAGATATGGCACCAGCTTGCCAACTCTGCGCCTCTGAGTAAGGAGGGTTCAGAAACTGGTCAATGGCCTCTGTTCGTCCTTCTGTCTGGGAGAAAGCTGCCCCCTAGCCTTGCCTTGAGGCTAGACCCTATATTTCCTCCCTGTATGCCTCTGGCAACTTTCAAGTTGCTACCCTAGTGCTGGAGCTCAGAGGTTGTGAGTCTGAGTAAATCTGTATGTAGATTCTTTAAGGGGAATAGCTTTGGACTCCAGAAATTACTTTCACCAACTCAGTTCCCTCTGGTTTTTGCAGCCAGAAGTTATGGGCATTTATATTCCTGGCACTGGAACCCTGGGCTGGGGGTCTGGTGTGGGGCTGGAAGTCCTCATCCCTGCATCCCTCAAGAACTTTTTCCACCACATGTGGATGTGGGATCAGCTTGTTCCATGTCTCTACCCCTCCTACCAGCGGGATTTTGTTTCTTTAATTCTGTAGTTGTCACACTTCCATTCAACTTGGTTTCTGATGGTTCTGAGTGATGGTTATTTTAAAATTTAGTTGTAATTTTGGTGTGGTTGTGGGAAG